CCAGCCCCAGCCAAAAAAAAGATGAAATAATGTTTAGGAAAAGTGAAATCACATCTGATGCTAAGAGCAGAAACATTTTTCCTCTGGAGGGCCTCACAAATGGGATACTGCATAATATAGTGTATCATGTCTTCCGCCCACTTGGTGGAATAATTCTGAGTCTTGGAGGATTGTGTCTCAATTGTGATTTGTAGAGGAATGTTCACCAACCTCCTTTTTAAGGGCTTATATTAACTCATTTGAGCCTCACAATAAACCAAGAAGGTGAGATGGTTTTATTATCCCCCTATTGGAAATGTGGTAATTTAGATGTGGGGAGGTTAAAACTTCCCCAAAGTCAGGAGGTTAATAAATAATGGAGCTGGGATCCAAACTCGGACCCAATATGCGATAGTGAATGTCAGTTAAATGCAACAATGCCATCCAATGAAAACAGCAATAGTCGATTTTTCCTCTACAGTTTATATAGTCTGTAAGAGATTAGATCAGGATGCTTTCACATGACGCTAAAGATGAGACCAGCGTTGCATACTTCTGAGATGACTTAGTTAACTTTGCTCTCTTCTAAGCCGATGGACTTTATCCCTGATTCCAGTCACCACACGCAGGTACATGCATGCCTTTGGTCAGAAAAAGAGGACCAGGAAAGAGTTCTCAAATTCACCACTTTCTTGACTTCTGGCAAGTAGTAGAAAGTCCATGCCCGTGGATGGCATAGTCTCAGATACAAGATCCAAAATGCAGACATAACAAAACACACTTTGTTTTGCTGGCTTTTCTTTTTCCAAACCGTATCTATAAGTATTTGTGAATGGCAGTCAAATTGGTTTTTCTTAACCAATCATGAGCAAGTCAAGTTCTTTGGAAGCAACTTGGTAGGGAAATAATGGCATCATTGAAACACATTCAGTTAGAGGAGTCAAAACATCATCTAACTTGAGTCCTAAATTGAGCATTTAGAACGATGTTCTCTTACGATGTGCATTAGATGGTTGTGTGGCTGATATCTTTGCTAAGAAAGAGGAAAAGGTATGCTCTATAAAATGACTTTTATAGCAACAAGACTCTTTAAAAACAAATTGTTGTGTCATTTTAAAGGAACACTTATCTCCATGAAGACTCTAATGCTCCTAGAATATTTAAGTTCCATATTGGAGCCAACATGATACACGTAAGACTGTTAAAGAATTTTCCAGAAAGATAAACTTTTAATAGTTCTGCTAAACTCTTGACAAATTTATCCTGTCAAAGTAATATAAATAAAAAAGATCAGTGCTGAGATACAATGACGGAATCATTGGCTAGGTATTAAGAACTTTGGGATTCCCCGGCCTACTTTATTCTGACAACAAAAGGAGATAGACATTCTTTGTGTGTCAGTTTCCTCATGAACTTTGGAGCCTGATTGGGTTCAAATGCCAATTCTGGTCCCTGTTAGATGGATAATACTGGATTAGTCAGTGAAACTCTCAGGGTCTCAGTTTCATCTTCTCTAAGGTGGCTCTAATAATGCATAGATTTTATGAGGTGCTCACTGTGTGCAGGTGTTGTGCTTTTGAATATCTTCAATCTTCATGACAATCTTTGGTGCAGTATTTACCACTGTTAACCCCACTTTGCAGAAGAGATCATGGAAGTTGAGAGGATGCATAATGTGAAGAATTTCAATAAGATAATTTAGGTTGGCTCGGCACCTGTGGCTCAAGTGGCTAAGGCGCCAGCCACGTACACCCAAGGTGGCGGGTTCGAATCCAGCCCGGGCCCGCCAAACAACAATGATGGCTGCAACCAAAAAATAGCCGGGCGTTGTGGCGGGTGCCTGTGGTCCCAGCTACTTGGGAGGCTGAGGCAGGAGACTCGCTTGAGCCCAGGAGTTGGAGGTTGCTGTGAGCTGAAATGCCATGGCACTCTACCCAGGGGGATAGCTTGAGGCTCCTGTCTCAAAAAAAAAAAAAAAAAGATAATTTATGTTAAGTGCCATATCTCTTGGTACAGAAGAGATTCTCCAGAAGTGGTAGCTGATCGTATTCCTCTTGATTTTTATCAAACCCATCTTCTTTTAGGCATGATTTGAAGAGTAATGAAAGAGGAAAACCACGTGTTTAAGCAACATGACGTTTAGGAATGAGATAGAGGTTTAGGCTGGAAGGTATAAGTAAAACCAAATTTGTATTTTCCTACAGGAGTGGCAGAAACTCAACTATGATATCTATGCCCTGCGGCAGATTCGAAGGGAAGTGAGGAACAGATGGAAACGCATTTTAGAAGACTTAGGTGAGCCCGAAAGAGATTGTGAAATGGCAAATAGAGCTAGTGTGATCATTACTCTTCACCTACTCCACCTTGGTTTTTCTAAGAGGAATGTCAGTAATTTGCTAATTAAGGCTACTGTGTACTAATGATTTTCCCAGTTCTGCTCTTACATCCTCAAGCATAAACATCTGATACTTCTCTTGTCAGCAGCCCATGTCTTGAGGACACCCTCTGCCATGTGTTACTCCATCTGTCCCCAGTATAGGGCGGCACAGGGCAGTGCGGTCCTATGCGCTTCACCATTTACTTCTCTGGCACTGCGCATTGATTGAATTAGAGGAAGGTGATCGGCCAATTAGTTGTAGCTTTATAGGATAAGGCAGGTTGGGAGAAATAAGCCAAAAAAGTCAGTGTAGATTTCAGAAGATGTAAGAGGAAGAAGAGCTTCAAGGTTGGGAAAATACCTGTGGCATTAAAGTAGGGACCTACCGTAATCACTAATGGTTAATGGTGATGGTTCTTCTTAATTCTACCAGGATTGTGAGGTAATAACATGGCCCCCACACCATAAATTAAGCTTGTTTTAATCTTTAAAAAAATGTGTCTATCAACTTTGAAGCCCTTAATCCTTCTGCTTGGAAAGAGAATATGACACCCTGGCATCATAACTTTTCAAACGTGGGTGCCACGTTGCTAGCCCCTGTGGCCTTAGTTGGGACATAACAGGGTGGGATGGGACCGCTGCCCTCTTTGCTCACCTGATATTATTGTCAACTAATAGTCTCCTCCTTCTAATGTAAGTTACTCCAAGCAGGTTTAAGTCTTTGAGCCATTTATACCTGTGGGTGAGTAAATTATGGCAGCACGTTGTCGTAAGGAAGGAAATCAGGGCCGGAGGGAACTACTTTCCAGATTGAGAGGCAGGTGAAAGTTCGGGGGTCGGGGAGAAAGGTGATGAGTAGAGAGGACGGGAAGGAGGGCTCCGAACCAAAGTCAGAGCAGCAAGCAGCCAGTGGATGAGTATCTATCTGAAGCTCCAAGTGTTAAAAAACATCACAAGGGCAGTGCCTGTGGATCAGTGGGTAGGGCACTGGTCCCGGCCAAGCTGCAACAAAAAACAGCCAGGCGTTATAGTGGGCGCCTGTTGTCCCAGCTTCCTGGGAGGCTGAGGTAGAGAATCTCCTAAGCCCAGGAGTCGGAGGTTGCTGTGAGTTGTGAGGCCACAGCACTCTACCGAGGGTGACAAAGTGAGACTCTGTCTTTAAAAATAAAAAAGTCAGAAGCCTTAACTAAAGACCTTCCCAGTCACCTTGAGCTGGGCAGAAGCATATGGAATACTGCCTTTGGCTTCAGTTTTCTGAAGTTTGTACAGAAGGCACATTCGGGTCCCTTGTTAATCTCCTGTAGGGACTGCATTGCAGGACATCATTACCTTGGGACTTACTTCACTTGAGGGGTAAATTTTTCTGCCTTAGGTTTTCAAAAGGAAGCAGACTCTTTGCTGGCAGTGACTAAGCTCAGCACCATCAGTGATTCCAAAAACACAAGGAAGGCTCGAGAGATGTTGTTAAAACTGGCTGAAGAGACCAATATTTTTCCAACAAGTTGGGAGCTCTCAGAGAGATATCTCTTTGTTGTGGTAAGTGGATGACTTTTGTCCTCTGCCCTAATTCTGTTTTGTGTTATGGTGTGTTATGTTATGTTATATTGCCGTTAGGGTCTCAAGGAAAAGCCAGGTCACGAAGAAAAAGCATGCTTATTGAAATTGTATTTTAAATAAAGGTGACCATTTGCTCGCTCAGGCAAAATGGCGAGCTTCTTTATTTACTCTTGGTTTATATAGTCAGTTTTGTACATGTGCACTATACATCTATGACCTCATTAATACTCATTGCAATCCCTCTGCACATGCGCATTGGACATCAGTGACTTCATTAATCCATTTGAACATCTTGTGACTAGCTACCTCCTGAGTAGCTCCTTCCTAGTAATCTGATAATCCACCCAAAATACACCTTTAAGCATAACCCTTTCAACGTAACCGGTTTAACATAACTTAATGGAGAGCACGTTGTTAGCCATCACTTCTTTTGTTCTTATCTGATGAAGCCTGAGGCTATGGAGGAAAGAGACGTTTGAAAATCTGTGCTACTGACCTTGCCATTTCGAGGCAGTTACTTCAATCTTTAAAACAAGGCATAAAGAAACTTCTAGGGCATGCAGAAATTTGTGTGCAAACCTCCGCTCCCATGTGGGCCTTAAGTCAGGGGGTTTTTATGCCTGCAACCGACCCGGCCATATGGGATTCTGCCTCAGTTTCTCACAAATATGCCTGCACAAAGTCTTTTCACTGCTTTCTCTCAAACAACTTTTTTGGCTAGAGGCATATAGGCCTTTCGCCTATGTGTTATTAGACAGTCTTCCTCTGTTGCCCCAGGCTAGAGTGTCATGGTGTTAGCATAGCTCACAGCAACCTCGAATTCCTGGACTCAAGTGATGCTCCTTCCTCAGCCTCCTGAGTAGCTGAGACTACAGGGGCCTGCCACAATGCCTGACTAATTCTTCTACTTTTAGTAGAGACAGGGTCTCACTCTTGCTCAGGCTGGTCTTGAACGTCTGAGCTCAGGCGATCTCCCCCATTGACCTCTCAGAGTGCTAGGATTATAGGCACGAGCCACCGTACCCAGCTAAAGTATGTATATTTAAAATGTTGGAAATCTATAGCCCCTGATTTTGTTTTAAATGTTTGCCTTTTCTATACGTTTGCCTTCCTATACAGGAAGTCCTCACGTAATGCCATCAGAGTTCTTGGAGACTGCAACTTTAAGTGAGGTCCTTCAATGATGTTTGTTATAACATTGATGAGGAAAACATATGTCATTTTGCTTACCGTTGCAGTTTGCAAGAACCTATTGATGATGCTAAGTGAGGACTTACTGCACTCCACATTCTAACACCAGCAGCACTGCCATAGTACGAGGTGGCAGCTGGTGCTGGCATTATACACACTGTGTCCGGTGCCCGGCAGCATTGGAATTATCTGAAGAGCTTTAAAGATTCAGATTTCTAGATTGTACCAGGACCTACTGAGGCTTGGAATCTGGCCCAAGACTGTATTTTTGAGCCAATCCTATTGTGGAGTCTGCTTTTTGAACTGTTTGCAGGTACAAATATTATTTATAGAACCTAAGACTGAAAAATAATTTGAATGGACTCTAAGAGAGATGGAATGTTTCTTGAATAATATAAATAAAGGATTAAGGTGTGCCTGTAAATTTGTTGAGAAAAAGTTAATAAATGTTTTGCTCGCTCTTTATTATTTCCAGGGTGAGTTTTGTTGTTGTTAAATTGATTTTCCCATTGCCATGTCTCTCTTCCCATATTGGCAACATTTACTTACGTATTTGTTAATTTAACTAATTTATTTATTTTGGCAGGACCGTCTCATTGCACTTGACGCTGCAGAGGAGTTCTTTAAAATTGCTAGGCGAACTTACCCCAAGAAACCTGGCATCCCATGCCCTGCGGATGGCCAGAAAGAACTGCACTACCTTCCACTTCCAAGTCCTTAAAGCAGGAGCTCCAAGGCATGGGATGGGAATTCTTCCATCGGGACTCAGCAGCCAGAAAAAGTGCATGTCCAAGAGAGTAGCAGATAGAGGGGCTGCTGAGCGAAGAGTGATGCTGAATCCCACCAAAAATACCAGGTCTTCATGAGGACCTTCTTCTATGAAATATTCAAGTTGCGTTGAAACCCTCTGGTGGTCTCATACATCTAAAAAGCAAGTTGCAGGGTTGGCCAGTGGGACTGTTCATTGTGCGTGATTTCATTCCGAAAGCCCGTTGCCCCACTTTTATTGTTGGTTGTACAATCAGCTCTGAACATTAATTCTATTGAGAAAGTAGAATATTCTACTTAATAAAAAATACTTGTAGAAAAAGCTACCATTGAACACAAAGATGAATCACCAATTTTAATTATTATAAAGTGTAGGCTAAATCCCAAAATAATACTAGACATTGTGTGGCATCTCTTTGATTTGGATGAACCTGTAGAACTTTGGAGAGTGACAAGGCATCATTTAAATGTCAGTTGTGGTAATTTAGAAGCATGGACATAGCAGAGAGTAGAAATACCGAGGGTACTGCTTAGAGAGTTACAAATAGACTGGCCCCAAGCCGAGCTTCCTCCAGCTGCACGTACAAAGCGCTCTTTTCACTTGTGGCACCTGCATCCTAAATTCCCAACATTGCTGATATGTGGTTACCTCATTTTTGTATATTGTCCATTTTTATTCCAAAAGCCCTTACATTTTATCTGAGACAACATCTGTAAACTGAAATGTTTGACCTCTATTTCATTCTCTCATCTTTAATGTGTTTCTGGATTATTGGCTGAGAGTTGCACCTGCCCAGGGACCTTGTGTGCAGACTTGCAGCTACATAGGCAGTGTCACATCAGAGAAGATCATTGCTGGATGTTCCTCCCTTCGGAAGATAATTTTCAGAGGGGAACAGTGCTGTCAATGCAGCCACCTTCTGTCCACAGATCGAGAAGTCCAGCTTCAAGAGTTACTTGCCACTAAAGCAAGAAGCTTGTCGAGAGATCGTAGTTTATTTATTGGAAAGGCTTTAAGGATTTATAGAATTTATCAGGACAATGGCAATATTTTTATTTTTGTAGACTTTGCATTTCTGACTTCAGGTTAAAAACTAACTCGTATTTAGTCTGTCCAGGGGATTGTAACTTGAAAATTTTCATATTCTGATTAGATTTCATGGTAGTGTATGCAATGTTTAAAATATTTCTTGGATGTGATCTACAGTGTCCATTTCTTAACACATTGCAGACCAACTTATTGACGTGTTTCAAGAAAATTCTTCTTAATTTAGTAAGCTAAAAATTTTATTTTTTTATATTTAATACTTAATCCCTGTCTCAAATTGTTTAAAATTTGCCTGCAGATATTTCCCTTCACCTCTGAAGGCTCTTGGAAGGTAAATATACAACAGTGAAGCAAACAATAAAATAAACAAAATATCTTAGAATGTCGTATTGCTTTAACCTCTGACCTCAGAATTTGTGTTTTGTCTTTCTGCTTTTTTCAGTGTCAAAATAGATGAGGTTGTTTGCATCCACAGAGTATAAATTGTTACTATAGTCTTTATTTTTGATAATGAATAAGGGTAAGATTGTCTCTACTGATTATTTTATTATTTTATTTTTTTGAGATAGGAGCCTCAAGCTGTCCCCCTGGGTAGAGTGCTGTTGCATCACAGCTCACAGCAACCTCCAACTCCTGGGCTCAAGCGAGTCTCCTGCCTCAGCCTCCCAAGTAGCTGGCACCACAGGCACCTGCCACAATGCTTGGCTATTTTGGTTGCAGCCGTCATTGTTGTTTGGGGGCCCTGGGCTGGATTTGAACCCGCCACCTTGGGTGTACGTGGCTGGCGCCTTAGCCACTTGAGCCACTGGTGCCAAGTCTGTCTCTATGGATTATTAAAATAGGTGGAATTATCCAGGAATTCCTTATGAAGAATTAAAAGGTTTCTGTATTTACTTTTGTTTTTTTGAGGCAGGTTCTCTACTGTCTGGGCTATACTGCAGCTCACTGTCATCTCACATTACTGGCTCAAGCAGTCCTTCAGCCTCAGCCTTCTGAGTCGCTGGACTGCTGGTATGCATCACTAGACCTGGCTAATTTTTGTAGTTTTTTGTAGAGACAGGGTCTCACTATGTTGCCCAGGCTGGTCCTGGCCTCAAGTGTTCCTCCCACCTCAACCTCCCATCATGTTAGGATTATAGGTATGAGCCACTGCACCTGGTTTATGTTATGTTTCTGACAAAAAAGAAGGGACAGAATTTTTTTCCCCCCTGTGGATCTGTTTAAATGAAAGTCAGGAGGGAGTTGTGTGCTAAAGTCCAGGGGAAACGACAGTGCATGAGAGAGGCTCGTGGTGACAGAGGTGGCCACACACACACATAGGTGGCTAGAAGGTTTTCCTATTTTAAACTATCTCTCTGTTGACAATTTTAATACTTCTCAAAGGTTCATCTGTGATTTTAGGTGGTAGATGGATGGAAGCTTTTTTTTTTTTTTTTACTAGTAGTTACTTATTTTAATGTGTACTGGGGAGAAACCCTATAACTAGCAGGTCAAACACCTGGTTTATATTTCAGATATTTTTGTACAGAACAATAAAGTATTTGTATGTCCTTAAAGTGTGAATACCAGGCAGGACACATTTACTAAAGTGGTACAGAGTGCATCGGTGAGGCCACCAGGTTCATCCTGAAGCTCAGTGCTGGCGCTGTAGGCCAGATGCTGCTGTGGAAGTGGGCTTCCTGGTGGTAGCCGGCATGGAAGAATAGAGCAGGAGCTAAGTGGATGCAATTATCATGAGTGGCCAGGCTGGAGGATTCCTGCAGGGAAGGATACCTGGAGATGGTAAACAGAACATGGCATCCATGGAGGTAAAATAAATAGGTGAACAGTGAGTATTGGTCAGTTTGTTCCATCCAAAGACCTTAAGGACGGATGATCGGGAGATTGGGCACAGCTACCATAATAAAAGATGATGATCATTCGCCAAGTTGCCAGACCTTTGCTCTTTTTTAAAGCAGAAACTACTGCCTGGAGGAAAGGCTGGATCCCCCAAAAGGTGGTCTTTGAAATGCCACTGCAGGTGTATATGGCAATGATGCCCCTCTGGTTATTTACATGGATAAGTGGACAGTGGGGAAAGGAAATAATAAACACTCTGAGGACCAAGGAATACAAGGTCCAAATCAACACTGATACTCAGGGTCAGAGCATCTATTATACTCCACACCTTAGTGTGGCTTATGGGATTCAGAGACTATCTGGAGTCCTTCCCCTGGTCTTCCTCACAGTGGGTCTGTTGAATTTATAGATCTACTCATTGGTCATCTCCCCACGTCCAGACTAAATAATTGGACTGAACGTACTTGAGAGTTGGCAGAACCACTGTTTGTTTCTTTGCCTGTGTGTTAAAAACTAGGCTAAGTGGAAGCCTCTGAAACCGCTCCAACCAGCCCCTGGCCAAGAAAGTGTTGATCTTACCCCATAATCTACTTAATTCAGTATGACTCCTACAAAAACTAGACACTGCAGGATGAAAGTGGACTATTGCAAACTCAACCAAGTAGTAACCCAAATTGCAGCTGCTGTACCAGATTTGGTATCTTGGCTAGAATAGGTTAAGAAAGCCTCAGCTACATGATAGAACATCATGTTGGTTCTCCTGTCAATAACATTAGAGTGGATAAGTACAGTGGCAAATGCATTCGAGGTCTTGGCAAATGATGGACTTCTGACTTGCTACTGGGCTGTAGCAGAGATGAGGCATCTGACCAGGGAAGATCAAATAATCCCGTGACAAAATCTGCCCATCATGAGCTTGGTTTTGTCAGACTGACCAAATCATAAGGTCAAAGAGCAATAGCATTTTTCCCTTGATACTTAAAAAAAAAGAAAACTTGATTTTGGAATAGTTGTACAAAAAAATTGAGGAACTGGCATAGAGAGTTCCTAAATACTTAACACGAAGTTCGCCCTATAATTAACATCTTACCTTGGTGTCACTGCACGTTCATCACATCTAATGAACAGATATTGATACGCTATTATTAACTAAAGCCCATAGTTGTTTTTAAGTGGTTACATGGCTGTTTATTTTTTTCCCTTTTATTTTTGGTTTGCACATAATAAATTGTACATATTGATGGAACACAGAGTGATATTTTGATACTTCCATATGATGTATAATGATCAAAGCAGGGTAATTAACATATCCAGGGCTTCAAACATTTATTATTTCTTTGTTTTGTAGACATTCAAAGTTCTCTCTTCTGACTTTTTGAAAATACACAGTAAATTGTAGTTAACCATATTCACCTCACCTTGCTTCACACCACCAGAACGCATTCCACCTCGTTAGCCAGAATTTTATATGTTAACCACCCACCCCCAACCTCTTGTCTCTCTTACCCTTCCCAGCCTCTAATACCCAAAATTCTACTCTCCACTTCCCAGGGCTCAAATGTCCTTTTTGTAGCTCCCACTTATGACTGAGAATGTGCAGTTTTTATCTTTCTGTACCTGATTTATTTTGAGACCAGCCTGAGCAAGAGCAAGACCCCATCTCTAAAAATAGCTGGGTGTTGTGGCAGGTGCCTATAGTCCCAGCTACTTGGGAGGCTGACACAAAAGGATGGCTTGAGCCCAGGAGTTTGAGGTTGCAGTGAGCTGACACCACGGCACTCTACCCAGGGCCACAAAGGGAGACTATGTCTCAAAAAAACTCAAACAAAAAACCCCCACATAATGTCCTCTAGGCTCATCCACATTGCTGCGTGAAGTTCATAGTTGATCTGGCTGTCCTTAGTTTACACTAGCATCTTTTGTTCATGATCCCATCCAAGATGTCATCTGACATTATGCAGTGTGCTCCTTTGAGCTCCTCTCTGCTCTGATATTTTCTCAGGCTTCCCTTGCTTTCAGTGACCTTGGTAGCTTTGAGGAGTACTAGTCAGGAATCTAGCTAGGGTGGGCATCAGTGTCACCTGGACACCAGCGGTGGCAGTGGAGCTGTAAGGCTGTCCTATTCATGTAGTTTTCCTTGGGAGAAGAAATGCACCTGAATCTGAACAGCACAAGGGGGTCACTGTCGTGGGTGGTGGTGCTTTGCTCAGGTCTACCCCTAGCAGGGCCACACCCACTCACTCAGCAGGATTGGCTGAGTTCTCTGGGAATTGCCATCAGGT